ATATATATATATATATATATATATTTTAGTTTCTAATCCTTTCGTACTGGTTTTGCAGCTGTGTGCCATTGTATACCTTTGACTATATTTTTGATTATCTGATGTACACAAACGTCAGCTTTGTTGATTGGTATGTCATGCTTTACATAGAGTATACCTACCCGTGTGTTCATTTGTAAAGTGGGTTGTTCTTCTAATTTCTGTTTTCTGCCACCAATTTGGTGTTCTCAACTGATCCAACCTTTTCTTTTTCTTGTTAGCTTTATGGATCCTGGTCCTCATGGCAATGGCAGGTATTCAAAGCGCATGTTACCCGAAATTGAGATGAAGAACTTTAGAAAGGGTGCACAGGTATATTACATAGGCTGCTTGCTGGAAATTATGCATTTCAATTAGAATCTTTTCTTGTTTACTACAATACATGGAATGTGAAATTTGAACTTAGTATTTTGCAATTACCCTTTTCAAAGGATATTAATTGAATAAATGGAGTTGGCCATGATTTATGTCAATAGGCTTTACTAAAGCATCAATTACAAGAGAAAGCAGTAGTCCAGTCTTTTGGCTTAAAACATAGGGGTGAATAGATTCTCAATAACATAAGTATTCTTTGTTCTTGCCTGAAATCGCCCCCTTTTTCTTTCTACTTTTCTGTAGTTCTATTTGCATCTTATTGTTGTTTAATACCTCCACACATGATGTGGAGGAGCTCAATTGTTTTTGTTCAATATAAGTCGTGGGCTCAATTCATTATGTCATCTGTTTAGATTTCTGGCTAATTGTTAGATTCCTGATGCAGTGGTTTTCAATGAAGCGCCAGCATGCTGTTATAGTTATGGCTGACAACCTGTATTACTCAAAATTTAAGGCTTACTGTCAGGTACAGTTTTAAATACTGTTTGGATTAAAATTTTGAGCAATTTCTTTTATCTATCATTATTGAATATTTTATTAATTTGCTTTGAACTGGCATGTTCATCAAACCAAGCAGGTGTAAGTATTTCATTTTTACCGTACACGCTCAGTGATTATGTGACTTTGGCATATGGTTTACATGAAATTTCTTTTAATACAACATATGTATTCTGCCGTAAGTTCCGTCCTTCTCATAATGATGGGTATTTTGAGCTGATTTTGATAAACTTTTCAATTAACAATTGCACCAATAGGAAAACAAGATAAATCAAGGAAATGGAAAGAATAAAACTTGCTGCAAAGTTATGATCAACTTGTGCGTCTTAATTGTTTAGGAAACTCCCTCTTGTAGTTTCTTTACAAGCACCTATTTAATTTAGCCAAGCTTCTCATTCTTGTCTTGAAAAAGTTTTAATATGAAAACGTTCCATAAGCTAGAAGCTATCCTAAACTCCCTTATTTATTGTTCTCTTACATTTGAAATGAAAACCTGATGCAAGGAGTTATTTAAATATCTTAGCTCTTCCCTCAAACGTGTGTTGAAGCATGAATTTAATAATTTTTAAATTTGGCTGTGCTCAATTATTAACGTGAATATTATGATATTACAGCCTGGTTTTGAAGGGAAAAATTGCATTGCGGATGAGCATTACTTACCTACATTCTTCCAGGTGAGAATTTCTATCTGTAATCCTGGCCTGTTCTAACAGTTTCAAACTGTTAACTAATAGGATTCTGTTTCAGATTGTTGATCCTGGTGGAATTGCCAATTGGTCAACAACTCATGTTGACTGGTCTGAGAGAAAGTGGCATCCAAAATCATATAGGGTTCGAGATATTTCATATGAGCTTTTGAAGAATATTACGGTATAGTGCTATGATAAATTTATTTTTCAATACAGAAATAGTCACCCACGACGTGAATGTAAAGAGAATATCCAATCTTATGAACCATATTTTCCTTGAAATCCAAGCAATGTATTTTTTTATTAGAAAAACATCCTCTCAGTTTAAAAGCAAAAAAAGTACCCTTCCTTTGTATTTCTTTCTCTTTAAAATCTCACTCCAAAACATATGCTAAGTAACAGCCAGAGTAGTAAGGAGAATTGGAAATTGGACTTTTGGGAAAATTGGAAAGAAAAAAATCCATTTGGAAGAATCTCCTTGATGTGTATCCCATATCTATACATGTTGTGCAGGTTTCTATGTATGATTTATCTTTACTTTTTTATGAAATTCCGCAGAGGTATTGGAAGTTACTGTAAAGTTGGCATATTTTGATTTTAGTGTCTGGTCTGATCGTCTTTTCTATATCTTGCTGCCATCAATTGCCCTTATGTAGTGCAATCATGTCATTTTGATCTGGCTTTTCTGTGCTGTGGGGAAAAATTTACTTATTTACTCATTCAACTGCTCTTTCAATATATTTTCTAACTGAGATCATGAATATTCATATTCGCAGTCCATTGATGTTAGTGTGCATGTCTCGAGTGATGAGAAGGTATGCTCTCTGAAAGCTTTCTTCATATCCTTAATTTATTAAGAATGCATTGAGTGACTTGAAAAGTGATCACTTATTGCTACAGAGACAAGTACAAAGTTGGCCTTGCTTATGGAATGGGATTCAGAAGCCATGATATCTATTTGCTAGGAAATTCAATCCTGGAACACTGAACACTTTGTTGCAGCTTTTTTCTAATTACTCAGCACCTTGAGCAAGCAATTTTTGATCCATTCTTTGGTCGGATTAGCTGTTGCTTTCGACCTCCTTCTTGGTCTCTCATAGGGTAGCAGCTGTAAATTACATCATTTTTATCTACACTGAGTGCAAAGTCTATTGGCATCACAGCTACTGTGGCTAACATTTTAGTGTTGCTTCCTTAAGGATAGGGATCAGTAGCTTGATTCATCCCCCTCTGCCCCTTGTTTTCATTTTGGGTTGTGTAAGTTTTCTCATTGCATCTCAAATTTTGGGGGAATCATAAGAACTCATTCTCTTGTTGCTCGGCTTTGTAGAACTCTGCAAATGCAAAAATGTTTAGTTAAAATACAAATGTTACCATTCGTTCTAGAAATTCATGCATCACTGTACCCCCTTGATGCAATCTTCGTAGCCTATTGATGAGGCTTATGCTGTTAAACTAGGGTTTTGAGATGTAGCATGAAGATCTGTAATTTTAATTTTATTGATATAGCTTCAGAAGTTTTATATACTTGTAATTGTACTTCTTGATTCAATGAACTAAGAAACTTGTAATGACCACATACCCGGTTTGAATGACTAAAGCTTTATATCTTATGTATGTCCCACAAGATATCAAGTCTTGTATAATTTTTTTTTAAATAAAAATTATCATTTTAACCTCTTTTCGAGTGTAGCTTATTTGATAAGGAATAACAAAATTAAAAACAAGAAATGAAATTTTCTCAATTAAAAATAATAATTTATATATAAAAAATTAATTTGACACCTCTGTCCAAATTCCAAAACGGTATACAATTGTCTTGCTTTTCTTTTTACCTTGCAATTGTCTTACTTTTCCTTTATCTTTCATTTTTGTTTTTAATGTATTTCATATATTAATAAAGAGAAGAAATAATTACAATAGTTACGGGACAAATTTGATAAGAAGTTATTATTGATGAGAATAATATCCATACTCAGTGAGTATTATTAAAATTAAAATTTTATTCTCAATTTTTATTAATTATTAATTATTTTATTTTCTTGCTTCTTTCCCGATTTTCACCATTGGCTGTAATAATGGTTTATTATTTTATTGTAATGTCATTGTTTCCCACAAACAGGTGCTAACTATTTAATTTTTGCCATGAATTTTTCTTTTTTATGATCATTGGATATTATTTTGTTTTTGTTTTCTCACTTGTCTTTTATTACCATTTTGTATTGCTATTTGTACTAAGGTTCTTTCCCGTTTTTAAAAATTCACTTTGTTTTATAATTTAATCGCATGCTGTTATGTTTTGTTCGGTTTAATTATTTATTTATGAGTAAGAGAAAATTAGTGTTTAATTAGTTTGATTTTGTGATCATTCCTAATCTAAGAAGTTATACATGTAAGTCTTATTCTAAATTTTATATAATTTATTATTAAAGATGGTTTATGATTCACGTATCAATGTTTAACTTTTTTTTTTATTTTAATATCTTTTCCATGCAAGTAATTAAAACTAAAATTTAAAATATAAAATCAACAAATTAAGAGTGTTATGCTGCTCAGATTTCTACCCCTTTTCACATTTCTCAATTACAATAATCCATTGTGGAAGGAATGGTCATTAATTAAACATGCTACCGTGATCTGAAATGATTAAATATAATAAATATATACAAATTTTAATTGTACCCATATAAGTTTCAAAATTTATTTTTCATGGATAATTAATCATAATAAAATTGCCAACATTTTTTTAATTTATAATAAAATTACAAGCATTATCATAATAAAATTTGAATTTATATTTTATTTTTATAATTTTTTTATCTCATGTTAAACACTTATGCAATACATTTTTTAAATAATTGTGTCTATAAATTTTTTTAAACAAATAAAACAAATAAGAATAATACAAGTTGGAGAGCGAATAAATACTATCATTCAACTTGATCCTATATCATTCTTACATTATAGAACAATAATTAATACATATATAAAACTTATTAATTTAAGTTACCAACATAAATAGAAATTTTAAAATTGAGAGTACTTCATTCTAGTTTAAGATTAGATGTAATTATTAGAAAAATCATCATATTTTTAAATATAAAAAAATAATTAATATATACTTAAACTCTAAAATTGAAAATTAAATAGAAATAAAAGCGTTTAAACAAATGTGACATTTATAAGATAAAAATAAAAGGAGGGATTATTAGTGTTTGAAATTGAAAAAGTAGTTTAGTTTGTGTATAATTAAAAATGGAAATGTGCGTATTTATTGTTGTCATTTTTCTAAATGAAAGACATTCTCTTATTGGAATACTCATTTATTTAGTGTTTATTGTTGTCTTTTAATAAAATAAAACTTTATTCAAGTAAATATCCATAAATAGTATTCAATACTATTTAAGCTAAAATTTAATGCACTTTAATTTTATTTTATTCAAAAGTCATTAAAACAGTTTTGCTTGTAATTTTTTAAATACCTCTTTAAATAAATCAAAATATTTATTATGATAAACAAATATGTAATGATGTTTTCTCAAAAGTGAAACTGATCTTAGTTTGGTATAATGTTCGTTTCTATTCTTACTGTATATCTTTCCCTTTTTAAAACTTTTCAGCACTCCATGTCATAGTTTTATTTTTAACTTTTCATATTTCTCTTCAAAAAAGTATACGACAATAATTCCTAAAAAAAATATCAATAACTTATTTTTTCAAACAATAAAATTCCATTTTTAAGAAACAAAACTCTATCACATTGATCTTTAGCGAAAAAAAAAGAACTTAAGTTTATAACATTTAAATATTTACACTTTTTAAGTTTTCAATTCATTAAAAATAATAACAAATAATTTAGAGGCATAATATTATATAAGTGCTTTAGCAAATTAAACCTTCATTAAGACAGCTTTTAATAACCATAATAATGCTAGCAAGCCTCGAGTCAATGCACAGAAACTGTTATTTATAGAGCAATGATCTTCACTGCATATCACATCAAATTCATTTTGAGATTCCAAAAGAAAGAAGTTTTTTGTTTTATATGAGAATGGTGAACCACATCTTCTTCCATTTTCTTCTCTTTACCATTTTTGTTATGGTGGTAACAGGTTAGTCTCTTTCTGAATTATCATTACATATGATTCTTTTGAAGAACTGATATGAATATTTTCCTTCATTTGGTTTTTGTGCATGAAATTCTGGAACACAGGGCAAAAAGAAGATTCAAATGAGTCTGAGATAAATGGTGAATTCTCTCTGTCATGGTGGAAAGATGATGATCCTATAAGGAGTTGCAATGGTTCTCAGGGACTTTGCAATGACAATTGTGATGAAGGTTGCTGCAATTCAAAATGTGCTGCAAAATACAAAGATGGAGTTGGGACTTGTAAACTCTATGCTAAGGGTTTTAACTTTTGTATATGTAAATATGCTTGTAATCCAAATTAGGGCAAATTCTATATATATCTACACATTTGCAGTGTCTATTTTTCCTTTTGGGTGCTAAATTAAATAACTATATTTTCTTTTTCTTTTCAAAACTTTTTTCTTATAATATTCTTTTCTTTTATAATTTTGTTTTTGCACAAATTAAGGAATTTATTTAATTGTTTTTTTTTTTACTTTTAATGTAAGTTTAAATGGGTTATTATTATAGATTTTTTTTGTGTGTTATGTTTTGTGTTGCGTTTTTTTTATATCACCAATAAATAATTAATATAATGTAAAGAATATTTAGAGTATTAATTTCAATCCTTTTAGAGTATTAATATATTGTATGAACTATGTATTGGTTGCTTCTCTCAAAGGCCAATCTCTCTGATTGTTTCCTTTTCTTTTATATCGAATCAAGTCAAACTTAGATTTATGATCACATTTAAGCTCAAATTCCTTTGTTTCATTTTTTTAAATAAATATAAATAATTGAAAATCCTATATCGAAATAAAATAAATAATTTATAATATATAAAGAAATATAAATTTCACATGTTAATATTTCGATAAAATTGATTTCAAGTTTTAAATGTTAAAAAAATACATATTTTCTGTGATTAAAACATCCATACAGTTTTTCTTCAGTCAATGCCGCGATGCTAAAAAGTTCTTTTTTATTGGTGGGAATAGAATATTTCAATAAATATATGTAGAAAATTTTAATTGGGAGGAAAGGAGAGAATATATTTCTAACAAGGTAAAAGAAATGAGTATTTGTGCTTTGAAAAAATGGCACATTATTTTTTTGAATATTCCCCCCAAATAATACATTTTAAGAAATAATTTCCTTAAATGGATCCCGTGCCAATTTATTTCCCCAATCAAGTTATTGTCAATATTACAGTCTTTTCAACATAATATTTTTCTTATATTCTTTTTCTTTTTCGTCCTAATTTTTTTCCTGTTCAGTTTTAGTTGGTCGAGTCCTATTGGAGGCTTAAAAAGCTTTCATTTTAGTCTTTTTATATACGCATCTATTGGTAATTCCAATGAGGCTGAACTGGTTAAAACTTATAATTCTATAAAGAATAAAATATATATTTTTCCATGAAGAATTGTGTTTAGTTTTTAAATTAAATTATAAAGTATTTAATTTTTGTATTTTATAAAATTTAATATAAAACATGTTTTTTTTTCCAATAGACATATAACAATTATATTTTAGTTTATTAAGCTATTATGCTTTTATCACATAAAAAACATTTATATTATTTGTTAGAAATGTTGTTTTATTTATATTTTTCTTATAAAATATAAGCATTACATATATTATTATTTAGTTTAAAGACATAACAATATTTTATAATAATTTACATACACAAAACATATATATATATATATATATATATATACAAAATCCTATTACAGTAATATCAAAACAGGCCACCCGATTGAATCTGGGCCGGCCCATCACGGGTTGGTTACTTAGTGAGTCAACCTAACCTGACTAATTTATTAACGAGGCAAAAAAATTCGAACACAGTCCGACCTACCACAGGTGGGTTAAACGGGTTAACTCATTCAATCATTAACTCACTTAATTACAAGTTTTTGTTTTAAATCCAAAAATATTTGTTTGTAATTCAAATTTAAATAATTTCACTCTAAAATAATGTTAAACTCTAAAGACAATTCAAAATAAAAAAAAATTAACAACTCAAATGTAATCCAAAAATATAAACCCAAAAAGTGAATAAATAAGTTTATAATATTGATAATTTTTGTATCACTTATCCAATTATAAGATTAGAGTTTTGAATGGATAAATTTATAATATTTTGCTCTTGAAACGTCTTTTTCTTTATTCTCATTTATAATACAAATAAAAAAATGTTAACTAATAATATCGAAACACAAAATTATAAATAATTAAATTAAACTAGGTGCCAACCCGACTCATCATGGGTTCAACCCGGGTGAGTCGGGTTCTAACTGAACCAGGTTGAAAATTGGTCCGTATAAAAAAATTTCATTTTTTCAAACCCAACCCGGCTCGGACCCGTGGTGGGCC